CAGGCACTTTCTTACATGAGAGCACCCACACAATTTATCACTACTTTCATCTGTCATCCCACACACTTGGCTTTTGCTCATATCAACATTTTTAAGATGAATTATTTTCACTCTAGTTAGGATACCAGTTTTGCAATCATTAGTGCTCACGAAAGAATGATAGAAGCAGCATCGAGTTGTTCCAACGGGAGAGCTATTTATGCCATTCTTAAAAAATCTGAATTTAAAACTCAAATCTCTTGCAATTTATCATGTGCTTGAAAACATTCAGTAGAGTTACACCACTAGCTTTCTACGGTAATGAATAATCAATACAAGAATTCAGGAGGATAACAGTGGAAGAAAACAGGACATGATTTTCAAGCCATCCTCCAGTAACCAGGTACTCACATAAGCAGAACGTGGAGGACAGCACAGAGCAAGTTGGCCACTCAGTTTTCCTTGTTGGCCTGAGATTACAAGATTTTGCAAGACAAAAAGTGTTGCTTCTTGCTTCACTGCTGCTATGTGGATGTCTTAATTGAATAGGATCACAAAACTGTATTCTCTATCAAATACTAATGTGCTACATGCTTTTCTTCTTATTTTTAAGCTGTCATTTTAAAAGGTTAAAAGCTTCTAAGAAGGTTTTTTTATGCACAGCATTATCATATCCTGACATCTCAACTTCCCAGGGTGGGAAAGTGTTCTATCTCACTGCAAAGCCCAGAGAGATGTTGGACTTGATCAACACACCCACTTTCTGAGATGATTGCTCATCTTCAATAGGAGCCCGAAGAACACAGATTGCTGAAGGAAAAGAATTCCCCATTTCCAAAATAAGAAATGGCAAATCTGAAGTTATCAGCTGACTAGAGTCAGCAAGTGTGGGCTTCTCACAATCCATTCCAGGAGCAAGTTATCGGGCACATGCTCAGAGTGGCACATCTGTCACACCATCAGAGAGGTGTCAATTAAACATTCCAAATGTAATGCAGCTTCCTTTGGAGAAAAGAAAAAAATGAAAGAAAAAAAAAGGGGAGGAAGAAAAAAAAGCCAAGTAGAATATACCAGCTTGTCTTTAGGAGGTCATTTTAGCTTTCCTAGTTGGATGCAAGTTAATAAAAAAACTAAGCCTGAGCATTCACAGTTAACATTGCTCTTCACTCTGCTCATGAAATCTATGACCACAGTAGTAAAGCAGAATTCTAATATGCATATGTATATGTTTTACCCACATCAATCGTAGTCAGAACCAAATATAGCTCTTTAGGCTGAAGATGCAAAAAAAGCAGCACAAGAATGATTAATATGCTTTAAAAGTTTAATTACGTATGTTAATTTTGTTCAGGCACTAGACTGAAAATAAATTATGCTTAATAAGAGGGATTCTTTGAAGAGATAAAGTTTCTTTTATATTAAGCACAATAAATAATACTTGAATCTAGGAATCTCACCAGGAAATGTTTATTTTTTAATGGAATGAAACCACATCAGATACATCTGAATTCATATAAAAGAAAAACACTACATATATATAAATAAATATTTGCTAAAATACACTCTTCCTGCCTACACATAAAAAATACTTAAAGAGTATGTTAGGCTTAAAAAATACACTTCATATAAACCTTAAAGGCTGAAGTACAGTTAATCATTTCATAATGAAAATGCGGTGGTTATTATTCATACAAGCAGTTTGAGTATTCCAGCAGCTGAGGTGGAATTTTATAATACCTTGCAATTAAAAAGTGAAGGGTTACAACTGTGACCATTTCAACAAGGAGATGTGACCTGAGTTTTGTTCAAGAAAAGGAGATGCTGCTAAGTGAATGAAAATCTTTTTCCATCACAAGTGTAAGGACATTCATAGGGCATGGATGTCATATTTTGACAGATTTTTTTAATCATGTGAAGAAGTCAGCAAGTCTGCTGGAGAGTGGGTGTTCTGTGGAGTGAAAAAATCAAAGGAGTCTGGAAATGGCACTATAGGAATCTAGAAAAAAGTTTACAAAGTTTAAAAAGTTTTTTGCATCTGAAAGATGCAAAAACTAAAAGTAGAAATTATATCCAGGCAAGACTGAAGTAGGTGGCACAATTTTCATTCCAAATACACCATTAAAGTTCATTCATATATTGCTAGTAGCAAAATTCCCCTGTATGTTATGTATCAGTTATTACAGTGGGATACATATCACTGCCATCCTCCCTCCCACTTTGAAACAGCTTGTTATTATTGCCCAGGAAGGGGAATACTACTAACTTAAGCTAAAACATAACCTAGCTCATAACTGTCATCTGTAAATATCCATGAAGATATTTATGGCATTTGACACTTAAGTAGAATCCTTCGTGCACATCCTATAGAATGCCTTGAATAGACAACTTTGCAAAGGAACTTCCAAGCTCTCATTTCTCTTTCTGCCCCCTAATCCTTCCTGGAAAAGGCTGTTTCTCTTCATGAGAACACTCCTTTAATGCTCTGCACGTCTATAAATAATGCCACGAACACGATTAGATAAGTCTCCTTTTCCCAGAATGACCCTCCTGCACAGGGGATGGGGCTCCTCTCAATCCCACCTACGGTCACCTGCTCTGCATGTTGAATATCTGACCAGCGCACAAAGCCACCTTCTCTGGTCAAGAAGCAACACAAAAATTAAATTATTAAATTAAAACTATAAAAATCTCACTAGCACTTTTTTTTTCTCCAGTTATTAAGAGAAAAGCAAAAATAAAAGTCTTCTTTTGGAACAAAAGATGAAGACTTGTCTTGTATGTACAAGATTAGCTTGACCTTGCCAGTAGATTGCCACTTCTCAAGCACATTTTAATCAAATTTTGACATTCTTGAAGTATTTACTAAATTACTGTACAAGCAATGTGCTCATTTTTAAAAAGCAAAAATAAACTTGCTCATCAGTTCTTGACTAGGTGTCAAAAAACTCATATTTGAATTATAGTTTTAAAGAATGAAATAGTTTTGTAAAGCTAAAAACTTACAATGATTAAAGCAGCAATTCTCAGTATGTCCCAGGTTTATATATTCCAAAATTAAAAACAAAATAACAAAAAATAAAGATTTTGAAGATAACTAAACTTACAATTTTGCAGAGTTTTGTGACAATATTGATATTAGTAAATACTTCAGCTCTCGTCTTCATTCCCCTTACAAATTGCACTGCACGAGAAGCATGTCAATAGCTGGTAAGAACCCGGATTAATAAACACTAACAGAAAGTTCTTCTGAATAGAAGACTAGACAAGAAGAGATCAAGTGTGATTATAAATAAGTTGGGCATGTCAGCTTTTCCTCTTCATGATTTATTACTTAAAAACAAACACATTTGGAAAGACAATACACTGAGTAATCCATAATGCCAAGCTTGTTCGATTTTTCTAACAACAAAAAATATATATTAAAGATGTAGAGTACTATGTTTCTTAATCCTACATATGCCTAACAAGGAAATTGAATTTAATTCAAACTATAAAAAGCAATAAACTAGGCTGACATTCACTTTATGAAAGGGACTATATGATATGGTTGCCTAAAACAGCAGGGGACTGACTTCAATAAACTACGAGGACCTTACGGGTCTTGTTCCTATCTGGATGACTTTTTGACAGACACAGCAGGTTATGAGGGGGTGAGGGAGGAAGGGGAATACAAAGCAACATTAAACAAAACAAAAAATCACAACCAGTAGGTACTCGACCCTTTTTATGTTGCCTTTTTTTTTTTTTTTTGGCAATAAGTATTTAAACACACAGAATGAAAACGTGCATATTTTATTAACGTTTTTAGCAGGAAAGTTTTAACATATATTGTAAACTGTGAATGATTCTAGCTCTTTGCTGGCCAGCAGCGTTCTATTAAGCACCTAACAAGTCCTTCTAACTACATAAATTAGCAATTCAATTTATATTTGCTGTTAGCTCTTCACATTCACCTTTAGACTCCTTCAGTGAAGGAACTTGTTTTTTCCTAAAGATTAACTCTATGAGAACACCAATATTATATTTCAGCATTGAAGATCAAAGAGATTACATCTACTCTCTGCTTAAGACTTAAATTTTTACCTCAGAAATAATTCCAGTCTTTATTTAAATTTAAGCTTGAGATGCATTCACTTTTCACTTGTCAGGTTTAACTCCATCAGCAGAGATGAGAAGCAATTAAACTGAATTGATTCCAAATTGACATTTTGACACTGAATTTTTAAATTCAGAAGTATGATGACTTTCAGTTAAAATCTACGACTTGCCCTAGACAGGTCTAAGGGGAGAGGGGTAAAGAGAAAAACATATACATACACGTACTGCAATGTATACTTTGAATGAAAAACGACACAACACCTTCTGATCTAAATTTAACATTTTATTTACGTACTAATGCTTAAAGAGAACTTTTTAAAATAATTCTGGGGAATGGCATAGTTAAAAAACATCAAGCCATTAGCAAATCATTGCTAATAAATCAAAAAAAGTAAAAGTATGGACTGCCCCTCCAGAACAAATGGAAGGCCACAATTCCAATGCTTTTAAATACCATTTGCATAAGTATAAGGCACAAGGTTCTTCAACATTTGTCACTTCTGGTTAATATTCAAGAATAAAACAACATTGCTGCATTTTGAGCAGTAGTAAAACTGTTAGCAACATGGAATATTAGATGTGGTTCAGCAGAAATAAGTTCTTCCACTCCAGCAGAAATAAGTCCATCCTGCCATTGCACGGAACTCTGGAAAAGTTTTTCTGGACAGAATTGTAACTAGTGCTGAAACTGATTCTGTCATCAACCACAAAGCTGCTTTCTAAACTACTCTCATAATTTGTTGCCCAGTGATTTCTATTGAGAAACAATTCTAATTATTTCAAATAAAAAAGCTTCAAGAAGCATGAACAACAAAACACAGTGATGAAGAATAAGCCGGTCGTGCTTAACTAGGCGATTCCTTTAGTCAAATACATATTTCATAGGTTTTCAGAAACATGAAATTCTTAAAAGAAAATCATACCTGATACTCTCCTGTTGTATCGGTTAATGACTGGAGCTGAAAAATAAACAAAATAAAATCATAAATTCACTATTAAGAATTTCAAATAATCTTTTTTAACAACCACAGTACATTTTTACAGTTAACACATGCCAAACACTCAACAATATTTTTGCCCTGTTTTTTTTCCACTCTTGCATATCTGCCCGTAGCCACCCATGGAGACACTCATACCACTATTTCCAACCTTGTCTCTAGCTTATTGAGTTTGTCCAACGGAGTAACTTCCCAAAGATGATAAGCAGACTTAAACGTTAAAACTCACCTCTCATTACCTAAAAACAAAAAACCTAACACCTACTAACAATAAGGTACTGAGGAATAAAAGGGCTAGAAAAAAAACAGTTCCCACTGCAAAGAAATTATTTACTAGAGGAGAAATATTAAAGCCCAAAACAATTTGATGTAAATTTACAGTAAAAGCATCTGACCAGTTCCAAGTCATTTCAATTCAATGATTAACAGTTAAGAACATCAAAAAATATATACTGAGGTATAACCTTAAATAATAAGCACGTACACAGCTTATCCACCCGAGGTAACAAAAGCTGAACTAAATTACACTACCCCCAAGGTGAGACTCCAATTTGCTTCAGGAACTGCCAGATTTAAATAGGCTTCCTGCCTGTTGATTAAACCATTATTTAAATTAGAGCTCTGAATTATTTTCATGTAAATCAGTTCATACTCGCAAGAAACCTTATTCAAGTAATAGCTCACAAATACTTATTTCTGTCCTATTACCTTGAGTCTTTATTTTTCCCCCCTTTTCTAAGCGATAGAAAACAGTGTTCATCATTAAGTAACCACACGATTTTATTTCAGACACCGTCTTGCACACAAACTCTTTCTTCTCCACGTTTTGATTACTACACCCATTACTCATTCATGTTTGAGAACAACATTTTAACCTCTGAACAGGAAACCCTGACATTATTCAAGCGTTGCAGGGAGGGCAAAACAAAAAACACAACCAGCAGCACATGTACTCTTCAAGGACTAAGGCCTCTTTTATAATCTCCATTACTTTATCCCAGAGCAGAGTTCAGTGCCATCAAAAAAGCATCAAGTTTTCCACAGTGGAAAAAGACAAAAACATGACCATTTAAGGACAGTTAAGAGCAAACCATTATTCTGCCTCCACAAAGCATTTAAGACCAAACTGATAGTTTGCTTTTCCTTACATCAAGGATGGTTTTAACATGTATAAAATTTCAGGTTCACTTTTACATGGTGTCAGGTGATGACTATTTCTATGAAAAAGAGATAAAATCTGACGTTTCCTAGTACTGCAGATCTGCATTTTCTTTTGTTCTGCCTTACTAACCAAAGCTTCTCTCTGTTTATGACTATTTTTCAAAATTGCACTAGCAGCCAGTCCTAGAGCATCCATCCTCCTGCCTTGTCACGAGACACACACACACCAAAAAGCCTGACACATTAAGGGATCCTGCAGAGCAACTCTCAGGAAATGCAATAAGGCAGCAAGGACTAACACATTTACAGATAACCCAAACCCAGTGCCCAGGCCGATCATGAAAATGTGGCTAATTTAAAGCAAAGAAAAGTCATGGATCCACCACCAGCAGCAACTTTCTACACGAGCACAGCCATCAGAGCACATGGCTGCAAAGAGAATACAGTCGACCCAGCGTATCACACTGGCACCCCTCTGTGGGGTTAGTATCTTCAACAACAAAAAAAGTTTACTCCTTGAAACAGAACAATTACATTTGTTATATTCACATCCTGATCTTCCTACCTGCACATCAGTGGGCGTCTTCTCACGTCAGTTACATACGAAATGCAGAAAATAGGAGATAAAGATTTTTTGAAATAACCGTATTATAAACTCTCCATTATGTGAAACTACATATTGCACTTCCAAATGTTTTTTTTAAACTTTGCAATAAAGTCATTCACTTAGGTCATGCAAAGTTCCAAATGTTTTTTTAACTTCGCCATAAAGCCATTTACTTGGGTCATGCAAAGTCACAACCCAATAACAGGTAAACATGACTAAAACAGAACTAAAGTAAAACCATTGCACCAGAAGAGACTAAAGCAGTCTGTTTTCCTTTCTGACAGCCAACAGCATGTGCTAAGAGTCAAAAAAAAATGTGAGAGTGGGAAGACATCAAGTCATAGATGCCACACTTGTGCCAAAACTGGCTTAGGATATTGATTCTAGTCATCTTTAAGACTGCAGCTGAATATCTTCATAGCATCACTTCTTCCAGCAGTGTTTCTGGTAGTGCTGCTGCTGCAGAAGATTCTTCTTCTGAGGAAGATTTTTGTGACAAGAGAATTTGTGACCAATTCTAAAGTCTAGCTGAATTTACAGTTGACCATTGCTCAGTGGTACCAAGAGCAGTTTTACCGGGATCTCAGTCTGTTGCAAACATAAGAGGAATGATTCTAAGACTGACTGTCCAAGACTGAAGTGAACAGGAAAACAACAATCACTATCCAAGCTAAGGCTACCAAATACAGCAACATACATTGATAAGTGTACTAGATTCTTACAGAATCCACAAAGAAGAAACAAAGCCTGTAAGATCTGTTCAGAGCCACAGGAAAAAAAAAAATGACAAAATAGGAATTATTACTCCAGGCATGAGCCCGCTGTATGAAGTATTGCTATACCATGTCGTATACCTTAGAAACTCTTAGTTTTCCTCCTTCTCTTCAAGGACTTTAACTTTTACTGACTTCTTAATTAAAATTGAGGGAGAGAAGGGTAAGTGCATACCAATAGCTTCGGATTCTAAACAAAATTTATAGTATGAGGCAGACTAAGTTAAATCTACTGTGCATGTAAAAAAATACTTCTTGTAATACAAATCTTGAGTTAAACATTCTGATTAACTCAACAACATTTTGAAGGTCTCCTGATGAAAGAGCAAAGTATACAACCTATTGTATAGGTTGCATAAATTCAGTAGTTTATCACTCAGAGGCCAAAGAGCACAGGTACACAATACAGGGAGGAAGAAAACAAAGCAGCAATCAAAGACTTCCAGAGCACCGTCACACTGAACTATGGCACAAAAATCACTCTATGTCAACAAAAACAAAGAGAGAAAGAGAATGTACATGGTTCCTATTTATCAAGTCAGTTAAGATTATTAAAACATGCTAGTTCACAGTATAAGCTATTAAAGTGAAATACCAGAAGCAGAGCAAAGCGTAAGTCTGAGATGTGACTGTCTCTATGGAAAGTTATATGAGCTTATCATAAGGAAGCGCTAGACTACAGCTGTCAAACTGTTTTTCCACACACCAAGATGTTAATGGACTCGCATCAAAATGAACCGCAAATGTGCGAAAGTTTGAAGATTCGAGGATCAACATTTAAGGAATTCTGGTAATTAAAATTTAATGCTCTAACAAGGGGAAAAAAAGACTCTCATCACTAGATATGCAATTATACTTTACTAATCTAAACTCATTTTTGAGTCTATAAATAAAGGGGGCCCCTGAGGCTAACACAAATATCAAGTTAGGTATCTGTGAAATCCACGTGGATGTCCCTCCTGGACACAGCAAATTCCACTAACCCCTTCCAGACCTCTGCTTGATAAGGCAGGGACTCTGAGTGGAGCTACCAACTAGGAGATTTTTTCAAAGACGGCTCTGGTGAGTAACAGTCTACCTGCCAATACAGCTTTCCTCAAAGGAACATGGAAAGAAAGAGACAGGAGTGCTATGGGTGCTCCCGAAGAGGATGGGAATTCACATTCTGGTTTGAGATAGATTTTGATGGGTCAACTGAAACATGCCAGATATTTGGAGGAACACAGAAAGGTCAGGGAACAGCAGAAAGTGATTTCTTTAAAGATGAACGGACAGAACAGAGATGGACAAAAAGGCAGAAAAATAGAAACCAGTCAAGGATGGCCTGCACATACAAACAGGTAGAAGTTTTCAAGAGTGTCTATGTAAAAATATATTAAAGACAATTTATCTCTTTACTACAAAAGAAGTTAGAGGCATAGATATGTCTTCATTTTTTGTATTAAAAAAAAGTCTTAAGTAGCTGAAGACAATAATATAGAAAGTCAAAGAAACAACACATCCTACTCTTAAGATGTAATTGATTTTTTTAATTATTATTTCGACTTAGAAATTATAGAAACAAAATGTAAAAAAACAGTCTGGAATTCTCATCTTAACAGGACGGTTCTATTTTGATTACTTCTATCAGATCTTAGTTCAATACTAAAAGGACCGTAATTGCTGTACACTGGAAGCCCCTGCTCACAGACTTCAGGACTTTACACAGCCTGGCAGAAATGCAAGTACAAGTCACGGCAGAATGAACAACTAGCAAGCAGCATCCCATGTAACCTGACATTGCACTAGCATTCCCACAGAGCCCTCTCCTGTTTCTTGATGATGTTTTTCAGGGATTTAGCCGAACACCAAAGGTGGCACTTTTTTTGGTTTGCTTTTTACGGAGTTGTTTTTCATTCAAGTCTCCAATCCCAAAGTACAATCTCAGCTGAAAGGACCCATTACAGACAAACCTGCGTGCTGACATTACAACACAAACTGTCAGAGACTGAAATGAGTTACTTTTTTTCAAAGATTAGAAAGACAAAATTACACAGTGCATAGAAAAGAAAGGATGCCTGATAGTATTAGGAGAGCTGAGAAGGATCTGACAAGTCTCCAAAGGACTGTCAAAGAAAAGACACAGGAGGGTACTGCAAGGTAAGGCACAGCAAGGCAGCCGAAGGTGACAACAAAGAATTTTAAGCTTGCTCCTAAATCCAAGCACAGCAGGCAATTCAGAAATACAGAAGCAAAGGAGCTGCATTAGCAGCGTTACTAAAGCTTTAAGAGTCATAATGATGTAAGTCTTCGAAACCAAACATTAAAAACATTAACTAGACAACAAAATAAAAAACAAGGAATACTGAATTAATTTTTATGGGGCTGCTCAAAAAAATGAACAAAAAATCAAAAAGCTAGAAGTTAGGCAAATTTGGAAC